CCGCGCCCCGCGTTCACTCCTTCCTTCCTTCCTTCCTCCCTCTGCCCCCTCCTCCCTCCTCCCCCTCCGCGTCAGCCACACCCATTTCGGCACACCACTCACACGTTTCGTGGCCCCATAGGGAGCCCCACCGAGGGCCCCAATGGCTGCGTCCGCATGGCGGCACCGCACCCATTCCGGCACACCCCTCACACGTTTCGTGGCCCCATAGGGAGCTCCACCGAGGGCCCCAGTGGCTGCGTCCGCATGGCGGCACCGCACCCATTTCGGCACACCCCTCACACGTTACGTGGCCCCATAGGGAGCTCCACCGAGGGCCCCAGTGGCTGCGTCCGCATGGCGGCACCGCACCCATTTCGGCACACCCCTCACACGTTTCGTGGCCCCATAGGGAGCTCCACCGAGGCCCCAGTGGCTGCGTCCGCATGGCGGCACCGCACCCATTTCGGCACACCCCTCACACGTTTCGTGGCCCCATAGGGAGCTCCACCGAGGGCCCCAGTGGCTGCGTCCGCATGGCGGCACCGCACCCATTTCGGCACACCCCTCACACGTTTCGTGGCCCCATAGGGAGCTCCACCGAGGGCCCCAGTGGCTGCGTCCGCATGGCGGCACCGCACCCATTTCGGCACACCCCTTCACACGTTTCGTGGCCCCATAGGGAGCTCCCTCTCATTCGTTCAACCTGCTTTGCGGTACTCGTAACTGCATATGGTTGGGTCCATCGCCAGGATAATCTGCCCTTGGGGACCCTCGCCAGGCCCTAGGACCGTCAAAGAAACACAACTCAGGATGCGAGCCTGGCCTTGGGGAAAGGGTCAGGACTTCCAGAGATCTCGCATTTAATACATCAAGACATCGAATGTCCGGTAACTTGTGGCCCACCCAGCAGGCCGGGGTTGTTAGATTGAACGGTCAGAGTTCCTGCATCTGTTCGGGCCCCGTGCAGGCGACCGCGACGAACGACGGGAGGGTGGGGCCAGACGAAGACTACAGCACGTACATGAGCGCAGTCAGGAATCAAGCAGACAGCGGCGGGTGGAGCGGAGTCACCGTAACTCTTAATCCCGAGTTCGGTTGCTACTTTCACCTTGGCATCGCTCGGACGTGTGCATTTTTTCCTTCGGCGAGGACCATCGAGGAGCATCCTTGATCATCTGGCGAAAAAGCCACGCACGAAACCGAACAAAAACACAGGGAATGGCCGTCCGAGCGATGGCGAGTCACTCCTCTCTCTCTCCCCCTCGCGCAGGCAGGCTCGAGTGCAACCACGTCTTCCACGCGGGCTGCATCCGGGCGTGGGTGCAGCAGGCCGCCCGGAGGGCGGCGGCCTGCCCGCTGCGGTGCTTCGCGCCGGCGGAGCCGTGTGCGATGTCCGTGGCGCTCTAGGTTCAGGAGGGGACAAAAAACACACAGACACAATGAATCGTCGATTCCCATGAAAACATGGGAACCTATGGGAAGTGGGGGGGAAGACAAAAGCCCAGAACGTATGGGGAGACTCTGGGACATCCTTTTTATTTGTGTGTGTGTGTGTGTTTGTTTGTGTGTCTCAGGGCCCCTTCCTATAGGTCGTCCTTCGATCGCTCCGCGGCGGGGCGGCCGTTTTTTTGTTATCCTCTGCGAGCGCGAGTGCCTAAAGGCCCCGAGCAGTGAAGCCCGCGGCTCCGCTCTCTCGCGCCGTGCAGGGTGGCGGGCGGCAGGTGTGCGGGGGCTGTGCAGCCTGCACATCGGCGGTGCCTCTCGGAGTGGGGGGGGGGGGGGTGGGCACGAGGGGGGAGGCGGCGCTCCGAGAGGTCGGGAGGCTCCTCCTCCTCCTCCTCCTCCTCCTCCTCCTCCTCCTCCTCCTCCTCCTCAGGCGAAAAGGAGAAGGAGAAGGGAGGAGGAGGCGACGGAGCAGGAGCAGGGAGGAGGGGCTTCTCGGGAGCTCCCCCCCCCTTCGGAGCAGCCCCCTCTGGGACAGCTCGAGGATCGGAGGGCCGCCCCCCTGCGCCCCCACACCCCTCGACGCGCCGCCGACTGCACCCGGCGCATCGCCGCCCACCTCAAGGGGATGGGGAGGAGGAGGAGGAGGAGGAGGAGGAGGAGGAGGAGGAGGAGGAGGAGGACCAGTGTAAACCCAGGAGTCATCAACGATGTTGGAAACACACGCTCCCTCTGAGCTCCCCCTTCAGAGGCCCCATACAAGGGTTCATTCCCACGTTGGACGAACCCGTGAAACTGTTGCAAATGTTTAAAACGAATGTTCGCGGCGCTAATGCGAGAGCCACAGCCTCAAAAGAAACCGCCATCAATCCGCGGAACTCTGGCATTTTGTTGGAAATGAGTGTGCGCGGCGCTGAGGCGGGAGCCACATTTTGAAAGCCGCCCGCCCTCCACTCCTGAAACCGTTGACCATGTTTAAGCTCCAGGGCCAGAAGTGGTGAGGAAGTCCCCAGCGAAACGCTTGGACCACCCCAACACGTGGCCTCGGGGTGCGACAGGGAGAAGTTATTGATAAGGGACAAGGCATGGACGAGGAGGAGGAGGAGGAGGAGACAGGAGGAGAAGGACAAGGAGGAGGAGGAGGAGGAGGAGCAGGAGGCGGAGCAGGAGGCGGAGGAGGAGGAGGAGGAGGAGGAGCAGGAGGCGGGGACCTCGGGAGAGTGCGGCGACGACGAAGCCGAGGCTCGCGCGACGAGCGACCGATGGTCGCCACGGAGGCCCGAGGCCTCCCTCGACCCAGCGTGGCAGACATCGGGGCTGGACCTGCACGGTGTTTTTTCAGGGGAAAAGAAACACACAGACACAATTAATCGTCGACTCCCAGGAAAATATGCAAAAATATGGGAAGTGGGGGGGAAGACAAAAACCCAGAAAATATGGGAACATATGGGGAATATTTTTATTTGTGTGTATTTATTTGTGTGTCCTAATTTCCCTTTAGTGTTTGGCGATCTCGTGGGCCGTTTTCGCTTCGATCTCGTTCTGCGGCAGAGGCGGATTCGCAAGGGCGCCCTCGAGGGCGCGAAGCTCTTCGCGCTTCGCGCTTCGCGGTTCGGCTCCGATTCCTCCGCATCCTCCTCTTCTCCCCTGGGAGGCGGCGCGAGGGCGCGAAGTTATCCGCGCTTCGCGCTTCGCGCAGCGCGAAGCGCGAAGTTGGGAGCCCTTGCTGGACCTGCACGGTGTGTTTGGCGATCTCGTGGGCCGTGTTCGTTTCGATGTCGTTTTGCGGTAGAGGCGGATTCGAGACAGAAGCGAGGGAGAACGAACACAAAGCGAAAACGAAAAAAACACCGTTTAGGTCCAGCCCTGGCAGATATTTGCCCGACTTGAAGCGTTAAAATAAGCCACTTACCGTGCTTGTTTGGGTGCTGCACTCTTCGGAAAGCGGCGTAATACTACCCCCGGCCGTTATCTTTCGTACGACGGCCACGCCTCGTGCGCCACCAGAGACACCTTTTCTCTCCGAGTGTCGCATCGCGTGGGCGGGGCGAACAGTTCCGGTTGCCACGCGGGTGCTTTCGCCCCTCGTCCTTGCAGAGGAGGTTTTTTTCTGCGTTGCTGTAGCCATCCTCTGGTTGCAACTACTCCAGCGTGCCTACTGGTCTGCTCGTTACCCTGGATAAACATTAATCCCCCCCTGGATCCGCTGGGGGGGTTGGGCACGTGCTGTCAGAACTTGGAGGAGGAGGAGGAGGAGGAGGAGGAGGAGGATGAGGAGGTGGAGGAGGAGGAGGAGGAGGTTGAGGAGGAAGAGGAGGAGCAGAAGGAGGAGGAGGATAGGCAAGCTCCGTCGGAAGGTTCGTCGCCCACCCCTCGATGAATAATCCCATCCGGAGTACTGGCTTGCTCGTTACGTTCGCTACACTGCCATCTACATCGGGAGCGGAAGAGGAGGTGAGGGCTAGAGTCGAGGGCGGCGCTCGGCTCACTTTCGGCCCGCTCGCGCTGCCTCTGTGTTCTATTTGTTTCCAACAGCCGCGGCCTGGTCGTCTCTCGCAGGCGTCCATCGCGCCCTTGATGACCCTGAGATCCTGGCGTTGAAATGTTTTGGCAGCAGGCGTTCTCGCTCGATTTCGCTCCCCTGGACCCTCTCATATCGTTCGGGCTCGAAACATGACGCAGGAAGTTGGGGTCTGGGGGTCCAGGCGTGATTGTTTGCGATGCTGCATTTTGTGCGATGGTAGCCAGCCTGCCAGCCAACACATGTCCCAACCAGGCCTCAACACACACACGCACACCCACACACATGGTGCTGTATCGCCTCCTCCTCCGTAAGGTGGTCCGTGATGTGGATGAGCTTGATGTCCTCGGCTGGGTCGGTCGCGCTCTCTCACACAAAGCGAAGTAGACCATGTCCCAGATGTCCGCGTTCTTTCGCTTTTGTCCAAGTCGCACCTGTCAGACTTGGGTAGTAATCTCTGAATCAGTGTATACGGTGAGCGTTCCTGCGGTGGATCGGATCGCTTGCAAGAAGGCCCACAATTCCGCTCGATTGTTTGTTTGGCGCCGTCCAGTTAAAGGTCCTTTTTTAGCTGTCCGGAGACCCCAGCCAGTCTCATTCGAAAGACAAGCCCATCCCCAACCACAGCGGAGATATCTGCTTTCGCTGGACTGGCTGCCCCCAATTCCATCTGTCGACGTAACTGTGGGGCCGTGCGTCTTATGGTTCTTGTCGACGTTCACGGGCTCGCAGATGCTGAACGGATTGTTTTATGTTGTGCAGTCAGGGGTTGCTTTCGGGCACAGACCACGGAGCCAGAAGCAGTGTACATGATGGGTTCCTTCAGCAGCACGTTTCGCGAGTATGTTCGAGACTGGGTAGTCTTTGTTCTCTGGCCGATTTGAACACCTTTCCCAATTGCGACAGCAACCGTCGGCAACTTCACCACACTAGCATGTGTCACCTGCCTCTTCTCCGAAGCATGCTCTTTGCCTTGCAGGAGGCCGCATGGCTGCGCATGCTGCCGCTTGTAGCGCTCCAGCTTCACGGTGTTTGCCTTGCCGTCGGAGGTGAGGTATCCGTTTCCTCAGATTGGTAGCGTCGATGCCCGTATCCATGCCGAGGCCTTGTCAGCTTTGTTAGGCAATCTCCCACAACATGGCCCGTTGACCCTGGAGAACTCGGTAGGATCCTCGGTGTGGTCGGTCTCGCCTTCCCCGATTTTCCACTCGTGGCCGTCGGGGTCGATCCATAGCACGGGAGACAGGGGGTCGCATTTGACGCCCCACAGCGAAACTATGAGGCCGCAAACCATTCCACGTCCTTGCTTCCAGCGGTCCTGAGGAGTCTTGCTGGTGAGCCTGTGGTCTATCGTGCTCCACGCTCGATGCGCTCCGTCGTGAAGGTCGCGCCTCTTGCACCAAGTGTCGACCTACGTAATCAGCTGCCCTTTCAGGATGCCAGCGGCGGCTCGATGTCGACGCATGTCTGCAGGCGGCTTCCAACCCAGTGCCCGTCAACAGCTTGAGCAGCTGATCTGCGAGGCTGTGCCGTAGCCGATGGAGGTTCGCCGTAGACCCTCGCGCCGCAGCGGAAGGAGGCAGCGGGTCCCTGCACCGCAAGAGCGCGACCACGGCGCCGGTGTCACCTGCGAAGCTTGTTTCTGGTCTCCTTCGTCCTCGTGGCTGCTGCCTTCGCTCGTTTCGCGCGTGCAGGTCGCGTGGAGGAAGCAGCTGTCCCCGCGCGCTCGATACCAAGATCCCTTCCAGAGGTGGCAGGCTTGGCAACAACTCCGTGGGTCTCGAGCTCGTCTGCAGTTTCGCGCGCGAGGTTCTTGCAGGTAGTGGTGATGACCGACTCGACTTCCATCTCAAGTCCCTGCTCTGTGAGGCTATTGCTGTACTCGACCGTGGAGTGGGCGATGGTTTGCTTGTCTGTGCTGGTGCTGCGTGTCGAGTTGAGCTCCGCGTCGTCGAGGCAGGCGCGTGGCAGCACGGACGGTACCTGGTTGTGCATGCGGTGGAGGACGCGGTACATGGTCGCCCTAGCCAGGCAGTTCGCGTGGCGAGAGCCCGCGACCAAAGAGCGGTCCACGTATATGGGTGAACCGCAGCAGCCTGCTCAGAGATTTCACACATGCATGAAGTTGAATCTCAAGTGCGAGGGCTCTAGGCGGGAACCACACATGTCGGGCGGCATTTATGACAGGCAGCGGGTCGAGGGTGCCGTAGAATCTGCGGTTGTCAGCGAGCGTCTTGGCACTGACGCGTTCATGGTGCGCGAGATTTCGTCGCTCAGGATGCGAGCAGCTGCTTCTCGGAGACATTTGCTACCAGCGAGAGCAGCATCCCAATACCTCCCCGCAACTCTCACCCACTTTGCCACAGTGGGTCTTGTCATCTTCACCCAAGCTCGGCATACTTGCGGCAAAAACCTTAGTGCTCTATATCGCCTTCGGCCTTAGGCTGCAACGTGGTGATGGTGCTCTGGAGCTGCCGTGGTCATGATACATAGGCCTTACACTGGTTGAAGAGGTCAACCAAGGGTTGTCTCCCTAAGCTGGGTAATCTCCGGCAGTCTGAATTAACTAACGTATCAGCCCCTCTGCCGCAATCTGGAGGACTTGTCAAAAAACTTGAGGTCCTCGAAGGTACACAACCCTAAGGGTGCCTCCATAGCGTGTTCACTAATTTGTGTGATCCTGGCCACGTGGTCCTCGTGCCTCAAGGTGCGGTGGCTCCAGAGCTCCCTGAAGTCCGTCGTCTTAGCATCGATGACGGCACGAGGGCAGCAACCAGGTTTTGCCTCGTACGTGTGGGTACTCATCTTCGTGTCGGGGCTTTGGCTTTGCCATACACGGTAAGACTCCGACGTTTGCCTTGGCTGGGTCAGATAGCCAATCCACGAATGCCTGCGAATCGTGCTTGGTATAGGAGCGGAGGGCACGCAGCAGGTCGACGTCAAGCTCCTCGATCTTCATAAGGCGCTTGGTCCATAAGTTCTTGTTTAGAGTCGCCGCGTCGAAAAGCTTTGCGCCTGCAATTGGCGTCCCTTTGTATGCGAGAAACCTGACTTCAGCTTCAAATGTACGCTCTAGCGTTCTTTTTTCTTTTAAGGTGTGGGATGCTCTGAGAACGGTAGCTGCTCTTCCCCATCAATCTGCTTGCTTGCGATTAAAGTGCGGGCGGCGAAGTCTTGGTACAGCCTTCCTCGTAGACCATTGCACCGGTAGAGCTTGTCCTTGGTATCGATGTCGGTCAGGTGGTGTGGGCGACGCAATAGAAGTCTTCCAATGCTGAAGCGAAAGTACCAGATTGCCCCCCCCCCCAAGAGAAAGAGCCACCTCAGGGTTGGACTGGTACGCCGCGCCCTTCTTGATGTGCTCGGGCGGGGTGTCGAACGGGCCTTTGTTGTGCCTGTTGTGCATGGCGTTCCAGAGGTTGCCCATCCCTCGCGTGTCGATCTCGGGCTTCTCGGACGTCACGGGTTCTGCTGATGGGGTCCCAGCTGCCAGGAGTCCGAGGTCCGCCCGCGGGCCCGCAGGCTGGCTTAACGTCTCGGCTGAGACGTCAGGCCCTCTACAAGCCTGGGCAAAGTCCTGCTGGCTGTGAGTCGCGCGTGTCCCTCTACAGAAGGAATGTTCAAACATAGTCAAAAAATCGTATGGTGACGATGTCTTGTCTATTTTCGAATATTAGTGGAATATGTTTGGGCTACTTTTCATTATTAGTCCAAAGCCCGCCTGTAGGGGGGGCATACCCGACGTAATGCTGGTTCCCAGCCACCTTGGTGTCGTAGCTTAGTCGGCTTTGGCCGAGGTCGCAAGGCGCAGAGGCTGATCCCCCTGAGCCTCCACCTCCCTATCAACTTCCAGTGGTAGGGTATTGTCAAAGAGCGGCTCTTCGAACAGGCCGCTCTCGTAGCAGTCAAGGTCTAGCCTATCCAGCATGTCCATGGGGTCGAAGTCATCCGTGTCCATGTATGTCCGGAGGTGTGCGAGTGGTCCACGATGGGTGGTGAATCAGCTGTGCCAAATTACTCCCATCTGTATCTCATCCCGCCGTCAATGGCATGGACTCCTGGCTTCGCGATCTCCTCAATCATGGTACGATTCGTACTCAGTTGACGCTGCTGTTTCATATGTTGCCGTTCGCTGTTCGGGTCTGGTTTCTTCTTTGGTGTTGGCGGGTGCGAGCAATGAGATGGTAGCTGAAGATGTCGAACATAATCGCTTTAGCTCGCCCTCGTATGCACAGCACTATTCGATGCTTGTGCTTTCATGGTAATACAACGCTCTCGATACCCAAGAAATATCGTATGGCCTCTGTGCTGATGAGGGCGTAGTCGATAAGCGTCGCAGTCGTCGTGCGTTTCTTTTCGTTATGTGTGAAGCACGTGTGGCCTTCTGGGATGGTAATAACATGACCTCCCATTACCGTGGGCTGTCCTGAAGCCCACAGCTTGTTTGGACTTACATTCCGAACGCCCATCAAGATGAGGGGTATGGTGAGGGGGAGGAGGAGGAGGAGGAGCAGGAGGAGGAGGAGGAGAAGGAGGAAGAAATGGGGGAGGTGGAGGAGGAGGAGGAGGAGGAGGAGTAGGAGGAGGAGGAGAGGAGGAGGAGGAGGAGGAGGAGGAGGTAGGAGGTAGGAGGGAGGAGGGAGGAGGGAGGAGGGAGGAGGCAGGAGGCAGGAGGCAGGAGGCCCTAAAGAATAATTCGCAGGCGAATTGGCAGGCGGCGGCCGCCCAGTGCCGCAAACAGAATTGGCGGCGGCCGTCCTCAGTGCTAGGAAGTCGGCCGTCCACGCACGCGTTGCAGGCCCTGCGCGCCCGGCCCCCCTCAGACCTCTGGCGATCTCCTCCTCCTCCTCCGCCTCCTCCTCCTCCTCCTTCTCCTCCTCCTCCTCCTCCTCCTCCTCCTCATCCTCCTCTCTCCTATCTCCTCCTGCTCCTCCTTCTCCTCCTCCTCCTCTTCCTCCTCCTACCTCCTCCTCCTCTTCCTTATCCACCTCCTCCTCCCCCTCCTCCTACCTCCACCTCCTCCTCCTCCTCCTCCTCCTCCTTCTTCTTCTCCTCTCCTTCTCGCCCCGGACTTCTGGCGATCGGATTCCTCTCGCTTCGCGGGGTGCACGTCCAGACCACGCGCGGTCCCGTTGCCGTGGAAACTCCTGGGAGTCTGTTGGGGGCCTCTTGGAGGCTTCTTGGGGGCCTCTTGGGGCCGTCTTGGGGTCCTCTTTGCGGCCTCCTGGGGGCCGTCTTGGAGCGCTCTTGCGCCGTCTGGCCCCTTCGGATGCCGTCTTGCCTCTAGGGGCCGCCTTAGGGCTCTCTTGGGGTCGTCCTGTCCAGCTTGGGATGCTCTTGGGCCGTCTTGGGGCTCTCTTGGGCCGCATGGGGGGCCATCTTGGAGGCAGCTTGGGCCCCCATGGGCCCCCCGGAGTCGAACTTTGCGAAACCGCTAACATTTGCCGAACACATGAGGGGAAACATTGTTGTGCGCATCTGGAGGCGGTCTTGGGTGTCGCTTTGGGACCCTCTGCAGCAATCCTGGGGGCATATTTGGGCCCCCTGGGGGCCGTTTTGGGCCGTCTTGTAGCCACCTTGGGTTGTCTTGAGGCCTCGTGGGCCCCTCGGGAGCCCACGACGCCCAAAGCAGCGGTTTCCCGTTCGGTTCGGTTTGATCTTGGGCGACATGGTACGGTGCAAGGAAATGGGGCGGCGATTCGGCGGAGGCCCCTGAGGGGGATTCTGGCAAGTTGGCTTCCTTGAGGCATCGTGCCCTGACCCTTGCGTCACACTCCCGTCTTTTCGGACTGCCGCGACGCGTCGGTGCAGTCCAGGTGTGGGTTCCTCTCGCTTCGAGGGGTGCACGTCCGGAGCACGTCAAGACTGGGCGTTTAGGGAACTCCTGGGAGCCTCTCGGGGGCCTCTTGGAGGCTTCTTGGGGGACTCTTGGGGCCCCTTGGGGTCCTCTTTGGGGCCTTCTGGGGGCGTCTTGGGCCGTCTTGGGGCGCGCTTCCCTTTCGGATGCCGTCTTGCCTCTCGGGGCCTCCTTGAGGCTCTCTTGGGGTCGTCCTGAGCCGTCTTGGGAGCCTCTTTGGCCATCTTCGGGTGCTCTGGGGCCGTCTTAGGGATCTCTTGGGCCGCATGGGGGTCATCTTGGAGGCTGCTTGGACCGTCATGGGCCCCCGGGAGTCGAACATTGCGAAATCGCTAAAATTTACCAAGCACATGAGGGGAAACACTGTTCTTGGCATCTGGATGGCAGTCTTGGGTGTCCCCTTGAGTCCTCTTGGGCCATCTTGGTTGCATTTTGGGCCCTCTTGGAGTCGCCTCGGGGCCGTCCTGGGCCGTCTTGAAGCCATCTTGAATTGTCCTGAGGCCCTCTAAGGCCCTTAGGAAGCCCAAGACGCCCACATCAGCGGGTTTCCATTGGTTTGAGTTGTTTAAAGGTGAAATGGTGCAGTGCAAGGACATGGTCGGCGACTCGACGGGGACCCAGGGGGGCATTGTGGTAAGATGGCTTCCTTGAGGCATCGTGGCTTGGCCTTGCGTCACGCACCCGACTTTCCAGACTTCCAGACGCTTCGTTGCAGTCCAGACGTGGATTCCTCTCGCTTCGAGGGGTGCACGTCCAGAGCACGTTACTACTGGGCGTTGGGTTGTTTGCCCTGCTTGTCTGCCGAGAAGCTCTGCCGTGCCGTTCTGACCTTCCCAGGGCGCTGTCACCGCCACAGGTGGGGGGGGGATGTCCCCCCCCCGGTTTCAACCCCAGGACGAGCGTGCGAATATCCACGAGGGCAATGAGCACGCACCGTGTGTCTGCACAAGGCAACGCCAAGTTCAAATTCCGATGAGCATAGCAGCAACATGCCATTTGGATATAATTCCGCGGGCCTCTCGGCGGTTTCGTTGGGCTTTGTGCGGACTCCTCTTGGACATCTTGGAGGCTTCTTCGCGCTGGGAGGCCCACACCGGATTCTGTCCAGCCGCCAGCCCGCGGACCTCTCCGCCCGTTCCCCGGCATTTGGGCGCCGTAATTGGGTGGCGGGAAAGATCTGGCACGATGCCCAACAGTAGATGTTGTTCCCAGCAGACAGCGGCGGCTGTCTGCACGGGCGACCGTCTCAACGGGACAGCGTCCGCGGCGAAACCGACAGCGAGTCCTGTGCAACATGTCGGGCGGGCGGCAATGCGGGGTGACCTTTGGTGGGGGGTGAAGAAAATGGGCCCCGCGGGGGCCTCTTCCTTCCCTCTCCATTTCATGTCGGTCATCCCGCATAACCGCCTGCCCGAAAATGGGCAGGAAGTGCTGTCGGTCTTCGTACCTTCACTCTCCATGTAACTCTGGGTCACCCCGCGTGACCATCCGCCCGAAACTGGGCAGGAACTGCTGCCAGTCTTCGTGCCCACGCTTCTGGTCCCCGTGCGGATCGTCGGCTCGCGGCCGTCACTGTTGGACGTCTCCGGGGGCCGGGAAGCGGTCCCCCTGGGCGCCGAGGGACGCGGGAGAGCAGCGTCGGCCAGTGCTGGAATTCGGCTTCCAGCGCGCGCGCTGCTCGGGACGATCGAAGTGGGAACGGAAAGATCGGGCCGGACGAGAGGGGGGGATTGGGAAAGGGGGGGTTACGAAACTTGCTGCATGCAGCTGGTTTCGGCCTCACCGAGGGGCCCATTCCTCGATAGATAGCCGCTTCTGGCGCCGGGGGGCGCCGTGAAAATCAGCTACGTGAGCTGATTTCCCCCCCCCCCCCCCCTTTGCTATCCCCCCCTTTCGTCCGACCCGAAAAGAGTGGGCACGATCGGTAGCAAACCATGGGTGCCCTGTACACCCTCGCAATTCCGTCTTCAGCGTGCGCTAGCGTCGGCTAGCGTCTGGTTGTCGATGAGGTAGCACCGGATTGAGCGTCGATTCGAATCGATGAACGTCGATTTTGTGTTGATGCAGCATCGACCAGAGTTGACCAGCGTCGATTTTGTGTCGGACTAGCGTCGGTTAGCGTCGATTAGTATCGATTTATCGTCGGCTCACCAAGAGCCAACACGATGGTACGAGAGGCTCGCATGATTTGCCACCGAACACTTTCTGTTCACTTTGAACAGGACTGACTCGCTGTCGGTGTCGCCGCGGACGTCGTCCACTAGGGCCGCCTGCCCGACAGCGGCCGCTGCCGGTTTTTGACCGCCTTTGCTGTTGGTCGTCGGCGAGCGGTGGGGGAAGTGAGAAGGGGCGGGCCTTCTCAGAAGTCTCGGAAGTCCCCCGGACTTCTGAAAAGTGTCTTGAGCCTTCCCCGAAGACACAGAAAACCTCTCAGAAGGCGCGAGGGCTTCTGAGAAGTCCCGCCGCCTTCTGAGAAGCCCTTCTCATTCTCATCTCCCCCCCCTCCCTCGCCGACGAGTTGCGCATTGTGCTTCGCTGTTTCGTGCCCATGTCGGGCGTCCAGACATGCCAGAATTCGGCCCTCCGCGCGCGCGTGCGCGCTGCAGGCTCTGCAAGCCGTGCCCTCCGGGCCTCTGCCGACCGGATCCTGTCGGGTTGCCTGCCCGCGGACCTCCCCCGTCGGACCCGGGCATCTGACCTCTTTCACACCGCGTGGGTGAAAAACATGCGCAGCCTCGCAGGCCAGCTTCCTGCGGCGAGACCTCGCCGATGCGCGCAGTGTTGCCGCGGCCGCCCCGAGCGGAACCGCCGGATCGCGCCTGCCGGCCGAGGGCAGTCTGCCCGGCCGGCGCGGCACGCCAGCGTCCTCAGACGAGAGCTCGAGCCGCCGCTGCCCTTTCTCCCACCTCGACAGCGTTTTTGCTTCGCCTCTGGGCCATAACGCGCGTTGTGCCCCCTACCCCTCCCCCCCCCCTCCCCCCCGCATGGCGTAGGTAAGGCTCTCCCCCCCATCAGTGCGTTGCGTCCCCGGCACTGCTGCAGTGAGTGCGGCACCACACTCTGGGGGGCGGGGGGCCGCTACGTTGTGCCCCCTCCCGCACCCCCCCCCCCCTATGGCGGCCGTTATGGCCGCGAATTAGAAATGCGCTCCTCTTTATCGTGGACTCCCACTGCGCTGGCAGCCCAGTCCGCCGCGCTTCCCTCCTACCTATTTCCTCCTTCAGGGGAATCGTCAGAGGGGGATCTGCTGAGGGGGGGATGCGTCGACCACTCAATCGCCTATTCATCACCGAGAGGGGCCCGACAGCCCATCCCGCCAAGTAACGAGCGGATTCGCTAGCGAGGGCCTATCGCCGATCAATCGGCGACGTGTCGCCGATTCCAGGTCGACGTTTCCCCCCATGAGCCGGTCCCCCCCTGACGTTCCCCTGACGTTCCTTCTCGATCCTTTCTCCCCTCTTCGTTGGTCATCATGCCTGCCAGCTTCCCTCTTCATCTTTCAGCCGCGTGTCCGAATCAAACGTGGGCGCCGCCGAAAAGGTAGGCCGCCGAAAAGGTAGAGTCGGCTTTTTGGAGGGAAGCGCGCGGAGAGCTCTGCCGTATCCAGGGCCTCAGATGAGGCCGGCACCCCTCACATCGTCCGTGAGATTTGGCGGGGCAGCGTCGGATGTCCAGCAGGTTGTGGGTTCCCTTCTCTCTTCTCCCTGTTTTCTTCCCTCCTCCCGCCCCTCCTCCCTTTTTCACCGACCCTCATTCTTATCCCCTCCGCTCTCAGTGACAGTCCTCCCTCCTTCTTCGTCCTCCCTGCTCCCTCCTCCTTCCGCTCTTCTCCTCTCCCCTCTCTGCTTCCTCGCGTGCCACCTGGCCCAACCCTTGCGACGTTCGATCGATCCAACCTCCCTCGTCCCTTCGCATCGCCCCTCTCCCGCCTCTGCCCCGTGCCACAGTTGCGGTGCATGGCAGCGAAGCCGTGGACCGCGTGGAGTTGTTGTCGGCCCCGAGATTACTCACGCTTCGCGTATCCCTCGCCGTGCGCTAGGCAATTAGGTTCGCGCGTAGCCCGCCCGACCTCTGACGCTGCTGGCGCGCTCGCCTGCGGCCGCGACGAAAAGTATCCCTCGCCGTGGAGTGAACGGGTCCCTAGGAAAATGGGTCGTGAGTCTGCTCCTTGTTCTCGGGTTCACGGGGCCCTCCACGGGACTGGTGACCGTGAGAAAACAATTCAGGATAAAGAACTACACATTGTTCATTTCTAAGTATTCGAAAGTTCTTTGAAGTTTTGGGGGCCAAGATCCTTTCATTTCTAACTGTTCTATCCTGGGCCTCTTCCAGGCCACTAGGTGGCCAGAAGCAATTAGAAACTAGCACAATGAGAAACGAACGCGATTATCACTGAACGACGTGTAGTGCCGGGGGGACGGCCCCCGGGTTCCAGGACTCGTTTCCCTGAGGGCCCGCTTTTGTCAAGCCGAGTCCCCGCTGCCACCCCCCCCCCCCCCGAAGCGATGCCCAGGCCAGTGGCGTGGACCAGGGAAGCGTAGGAGCACGCGGTGAAGCAGCGAGGGGAGGCAGGCGTCGAGCTGGAGTGCGGGACGAACGTGGTCATGGGGACAGAGCGACGGGGGGGGGGTCTTGGCCGTATTGCCCCCTCCGGAGTTCAGGCACTCGGCTTGGGACGCTGTTGGGGTGCTCTCGGGCGCTCTGCGGCCGTCTGGGCGCCTAGCGCGGGTCCTCTCATGGGGCGCGCGCGCGACACGTTCGGCTGCAAGCCCGTCCCAGAGCGCCTCGTATATGCGTGTACCGGCACATTTGTGATACCCCCGACCGACGCCACCTGGAGCAGTCTCTGGGTCGGAGGCCATCTTGAGCCAACTCGGGCCATAATTGGCCACATTTGAGGCTATCTCAATGCCTCTAGGCCCATCCCTGCACAAGGGTTCCCCCGAGAAGCCAACATCGTTCAAACTCATCCTGGTTTCCAGTGACTCTGGTTCTGAGCGAAAGGGGGGGATTTCAATTAGGGCCCCCCCGGTCGGAGCCTGACAAGCCGTCTCTTGGAACTTCCTTGGGAAGTTTACTTTCTTGGGTGATTTTGGAACCATCTTGAGGCCTCAGAGGCCCACTGAAAGCGAACAGGTGAGAGACCGCGCATCACTCACCAACCTCAGGCGTGTAAGGGATGCTGGCGTCAAAGAAGTATCCTTGGGGGGCTTCGTGTCCACTTGAAGCACCACCCTGCTTTCTTGAGGGCGTCTGGGCGCAGATTCGAATCCATCTTGAGCCACCGTGGCCTATCTGGGGCCCCCTTGGACGCCATCTTGGGGAGTGTCTGGTGCCACCATGGAACAGTGCGTGCTTTCGCCGACGGCCAGGGCTCAGGCATGGCACTATGGCGCCAAACTGCTCCTCGCCTCCTTCCTCCCCCTCCTCTTCCTCCTCCTCCTCCTCCTCCCCTCCTCCTCCTCCTCCTCCTCCTCTACTCCTCCTCCTCCTCCTCACCTCTCCTCCTCCTCCTCCTCCTCCTCCTCCTCCTCCTCCTCCTCCTCCTCCTCTCCTCCTCCTCCTCCTCCTCCTCCTCCTCCTCCTCCTCCTCCTCCCCCTCCCCCCTCCCCCCTCCCCTCTCTCCCTCCCCCTGCCCCTCCCCCTTCTTCTCCTCCTCCTCCTTCTCCTCCTCCTCCTCCTCCTCCTCCTTGTCCTCCTCTTCTTCCTCCTCCTCTTCCTCCTCCTCCTCTTCTTCCTCCTTCTCCTCCTCTTCCTCCTCTTCCTCCTCCTCCTCCTCCTCCTCCTCTCCCCTCCTAGGTGGCTCTTCGGCGGGGCGGCGTAACCATTTCCCCCTGCCCGCCGCCTCTGTTGCGGCCGCCCGCAATCGAGGAGCCCCCAGCCCCCGCGACGGGGCGAGAGTGGAGGAGGCGCTGGAGGAAGTGCAGCCGATGGCCGAGCCCCCGTGTGCGCCCCCGGGATGGGAGAGGCGCCCAAGCAACAGCCAGAGGCGAGCGTGGAGGCGCTTGCGCCTGGCGACGTGCCAGCAGGCGGAGCTGGGCCTCAACTGGCTGCTGGGATGGCAGTGGCAGCCGAGCGAGGCCAGCCTGTGTCGAGGAAGGCAGTGGCAGCATCCAGGATGCGTGAAGAGGGAGACGAAGGAAGAGCCCGACGCCATGAACTACATCGCCGAGACCCGAGCGTGTGAGAAAGGGAAGGTGGTGGTGGAACCCGACGTCCTTAGCCACACAGTTGGGGACCGGCGCTTTCAACCACAACGCTGGGGCCATGTCGTGCGAGAAGGAAGCGACGAAACTGGAGCCGTACATCCCCAGCCACGGTTCTAGGATCAGCGAGTGCGAGAAGCGGAGGGCGAAGACTGAGCCCGACACGAGAAGCCACGGCGCTGAGACCATGGCGTGTGAAAAGGGGAAGGCGAAGACAGAGTCCGACACCCCAAACCATAGCCTTGGGACCAGAGCTTGCGAGCAGTGGGAGGTGAGGGTAGAGCCCGACGTGAGCAGCTACAACGCCGCGGTCAGGACATGCGAGAGGAAGGCGAAGCTAGAACCCGCTACCCCTTGCCAGGACTCGGGGGGCAGCGCCTGCGACCAGAGGAAGGCGAGGAGTGATCCCAACGCGATCAGCTGCAGCGCGGGGACCAGTTCGCGCGAGAAGAAGAAGGCAAGACTGGTGCCCTTCCATAGCCACAGTTCCGAGAAGAGCGCGCGCGAGAAGTCGGGGGCGAAGTTGGGGCCCGACTTGATCCCTAGCCATTATTTTTGGGATCAGTACGTGCGAAGATAGAGCCCGACACGATCAGCTACAGCTCTGAGACCATGGCGCGTGATAGGGGGGAGGCGAAGACAAAGCCCAGGAGCCAGGCCAGAGGCCTCTCACGACGCGCAGCGGGAAGTGCGAGGCGAAGATGGGGCCCGACATCATCAGCTACAGTGCTGGGAGCAGGCCGCGTGAGACGCTGGAGACGAATATAGAGCCAAGCATCACCAGCCACAGTGGCAACGGCACCAGCAGGGCCACGTGGGGGGCTCGAGCAGCGATCGCGGCGACGTGGCTGGCAGGTGACGAAACTGGGGAGCTGGGCGTCGTCAGTTAGAGCGTTGGGAGCAGCTCGCGCTGGCAACTGCAGCGGAAGAAGGAGGCGAAGGAGAAGCTCAGCGTCATCAGCTACAGCGCTGGAACCCAGTGGGAAGCGGAGGACATCCATGGAGAGTGGGGGCCCTCCCAGATGAAGACCCGCATGCTTTCGATATCAAATACAAGAAGTACCTCCTCACGCCCAGCAGGAAGTTCAGCCCCGTCACTCTGCACGAGCGGAAGACCCACGTGGTCACCCAGGCCAGACTTCGCAAATATGGTCCTGAGGGGCGCGCAGAGTAGGAGACGCGTCTAGATGAGGCGAGTGCGAGAAGTGTTGCCACCTTCCTTGGACGGCATGTCGCGGCCGGCGCCCGCGACTCACGTCGCGGGGGTCCGCTGCGGGGCGCCGGGGGCCACGGAGGTGGAATAGGGGCGCCGCGGAGGGCAAGCCCGGCAGCGCGGCTCCCTGCGCCTCCTCCAGGCGCGCAGGGAGAGGGTGGGGGGCGGCCCTCAGGGACGCGCCCCCTTGAGCGGCTGCGGCCCGCGCCCGCTCGGCGCGGGCCGGCTGCCGGCAGCCGCCGCGGCTTGGACGGAAAGCTGGAAAGCTCCCCCAGGTC